ATTTACGAAACCAACAAATAGTTATGAGCTGTAGATTTGACAAAAATAAAACACATTAGCACATAAGTATTAACAACATAACACTCCTCACCCAAATTCCCTTCTCAAGATCAAACCAATAGCAAGCATTATGCAATGTTTCATTCAAACCACAAAAATTTCAAACCTGTCAAAGTGAGTAGTGGATCATGTTGAAAGCTCCAGCCGACATAAGCTATCGCCGGACTCCCCCTCCCCGGATCTACTGTCATTCCCTTGATTTAATTTGTTGGTTTCCACTACGCATCGTTGATTCTGGTACCATATCTCTGCTGCCCACCGTCGCTAATAGGTTCAATAGGAAGACATACCGACAGAGAGCAGTAGACAATTAGACACCACTCCCTCCCATACTATAGATCTTATGCAATAATGTTAAACTTCAAACACATCTTTAAATAAAAATGACGCATCCAATAAAAACACAGGCAGAATAAGGTTCCATTGACAAATATTTCCTTGAGAGTTCCTGAATTGAAGTGTTGAAATATAAAGTATAATTTTGAAGAAATATTTCATATCTATGTTTCTTTTGTATTTGAGTTATCCATTCACCACAATTCTTCTTGGACTTTACTGTCTTGCTGCATCAAACTGGTCCACAACATTGATAAAATAGGTTACCAGGAGTATTCATTCTGGACTCCCTATTTACTTGAATCAATCCAAACAAAATTTATTTTAAAAAACTTAAAAATTATTATTATTTTTAGTAAAAATCAAAACTGGATGTCTGAAATAATATGTCCAGAAGAAACCTTATTTGTCTTCTTCTTCCTGAAGTCCACAATCTATCTATTACTACAAATTTGGGTTTAGCTCCGTATAACCATAAATTGGAAGTCAACCCAATACTATTTATCCAAGAAAGTCTGAATTTCAAAAAGTAACCTAATCAAACTAAACTCATCATTTTGACTAATAAAATAGGTTACCAAATAAGCTCCTCATAGACATTATTACAAACACACAACTATGAAACTAAACATGAGTGTAAAAATAAGATTAACATATACATTATAAGGATATTTTCGTGATATAGAGTATATATTGTTGGGTGTGTTTCAAAAAATAAAGAAAATTAATTAAAATAAATTAATTAAATAAAATGACTAAAGAAAAACAGGAAAGGAGATGATGCAGAATTAGTCAAAGCTCGTGCTACGCACGATTTCCTTAAAACGTATTTGTTTCCTCCCACGGTGCTAGGAGCGTTGCAACAATCGTTTCCCAGGATACGATGACTACAAACTAATGTTTGAGCACACAAACAAGAGTTCCAGCGAACGAGGACCAAGTATGAACACAGAAGGAAGTTTGCTGAGTAGCTTTAGGTGTTATTAGCTCAAGAAATTCGTGAGGAATGTATTGTGCGTTGTGTTGTTGCAAACCACCTGGCAGCTATTTATAGGAGGATTTGTTGTGTGTTAAATGGGGTGTTAATAGACCTGAACGTTGGACTTCAATGACCAGTCCGTTGGGCATTGAATCATCCATAAACTGTCCATTTAACGTTGCATTAAAAGACAAGAAGTTCTGGTGCGCGATCAGAATACCCCCACCAGAGTTGGAGCAGTTCTGATGCTACCAGAAGACCTCCACCAGAGTTGGAGCAACTCTGATGCGAAGCGACCAGAGTTCGAGGTTCTGGTCCGAAGCCACCAGAGTTCGAGCAACTCTGATCCTGGGAAAAAATAAAACGTTACGGGAAGAAACAAAACTTAGACCGTATCTTTGAATGATAGGTTTTCGGACGACATTCGTGTCCGCAGGTCGCCCGCGCACACGAGTCGCGGTTTTTCTTCTCCGTTTCGGGATTTGATCCCCCCCTGCGCGTAAGAGAGAGCCTTTCCCTTTAGGAATCTTAACTCCTTAAAAGAGGCTTCCCTTTATAAGGGGGTGAAAATCCCTTGAGTTTTTCGGTGTGGGATAAAACACACTAGAAACTCACCATTTTCCCCGTTTTTCCATTTCAACGAGTGAACTTCGAGAATCAATTTCTCATTCACCCGTTATCCGTTTTGAGTGTACCATATATCGAATTGTAGCTCTTAACAAGGACAATCCGAAACCACTTTGACCCGACCCAAATCGGAAGTGGACCCCACTCAAATAATTGCCCCAAAAAGACCATTTAATGCAATTTTAACACATTTTTCCAACATATATTATGAAAAATTATAGTTATACCTAGTTAAAAAATTAATCCGGCGGTACCTTGACACCATAAGCCCCTAACCGGAAGAAATCTTATCTATCTTCTTCTTCCTGAAGCCCGCAAGCTTTAGGCCGCCAATCCACCACTCGCCTCACCGGACTCTACCTCCTCCTTGGCCGCCACTGTCTTTTGGGGTCAAAGGTTGAGTGGGGGGTTTATGGCCCTCCATTGATGTCGCTGCAGTATATGTGACACTTCTAGCGGTTGATCTTCCAATGCTTCACCTCATCCACACCAAGTCACCGCGTGGAATCCAGAAGAGTAGTTGTAGTTCCTGCCCGCTGTCGTGAGGTCCTGCAAAATTTTGGAACTCATAATTTGAAGTTGTTACCAAATTTTGATATGGGTTACTTGAACAGTTAAGCGGTGGGCATGTGGCAAATCCTTCCAAAAAATGACAACAAAGGGTTTGGGTTCTTGGCAAAATTACACAATTTAAAATTGATGGGAAATCATGAAAATTTTGCAGGTACAACATGAAAAAGTAAATTGATGCCCTTACGATTCAAAGCCAGATCAGGATAAGTAATAAGAGCATGCTTGTCTGGGTCTCCAAAAATAGTTACAGAGATGGAACTGTTGTCTGTTTTAAAAATATGCTCACGAGAAAAAATTAAATTAAAAAAAATAATCAGCAAAGTAACTAAGCATAACGTAACATAGTAAAACACAGACCAATGATGAAAAAGCTTCCAATTGAGGATACAGCCGTAATGTGACTTATGTCCCTTTCTTCGGGGTTATTCTTATCTGAATATTCTATAAGTCAGTAGTAATGGTTCTAAACTCTAAAGTACACTCTTTTCACACATTCTGAGAAGGAAAGAATTTGCTCAAGCACAAATGAAGTATCTTGTAATTCAGGGTAATAAAAATTAACTATTTATTCTTGTTATCTCATTGATTCATGTTCAAACAGATACTCTTCTTGGACTTTACTGTCTTGTTGCATAAAACTGGTCCACAACACTGATAAAATAGATTACCAGGAGTATTCATTCTGGACTACCTATTTACTTGAATCAATCGAAACAAAATTTATTTTAAAAAACTTAAAAGTTATTATTTTTTGAGTAAAAATCAAAACTGGATGTCTGAAATAATATGTCCAGAAGAAACCTTATTTGTCTTCTTCTTCCTGAAGTCTGCAAGCCACAGAGCCCAAAGACGTAGAGGCTGCCAGTCCACCACTCCCTCTTCGGCCTCCTCTTCCTCCTTGGAACTCCCTCTGCCTAGTTAGCTATGGCGTCATTCCTCTATGTTGGCCACCATCGCTGACAAAGAAAGCCCCAGATCTGCCATCCTGGTCCCCAAGATCGGAAAATTGCTTGTTGAGGCACCTGGTCGCGAGCAGTTTCAATCCAGTGCGGTCTCCACCGTCTAGGCCCTCCATCGATGCCCTGCAGTGGATGCGATGCTAAGGTCGATCGCCATATGCTTTACCTCCTCCATGGAGTATGTTTTCGAGTTTTTACCTGGAGTATAAAACGTTTGCATTTGATTAGCTCCATGTGGTTATAAACCAAGAGTTTGGCGGCACAACTTTCAACCGAACACCCAGCCCTATATTAGCTTCCAGCGCAATACACTTCCAAAATTTAGATTGGACCGATATTTGACCATGATGTGACAGTTTTGAGCGGGAAAAATGGGTTGCTTTCCGTTTCCTTTTGTATATAGATAGATTATTGCTCTGTATTTATTTAGACTTAGAACGAATAATTGTTTCCAAATAGTTTTAACAAACAATCACGCTCGATCAACAATCGTCCAAAAACCACCCCACACTCCTCCCAACATTATTCAATCAATGGAATGCTTAACAAACAACAGAAGCCAATTGTTCCATAAAAATAATAGGACAAAAAAGAGAAAAAAACACAACCATATCAAACACGAATAAGTGGCACCGCCCACCGGTACACCAAACGCCAATTGTCGCATAAATTCCAAATACAAAAGGTGTGCCTGTCCATTTGCCATTTGCCATTTGCACACCCCCCTTTCTTGTTACAGTTTTTTTTTGTTTTTATGAATAAAATTGTCCGTATCACTTACAAAATTTATTGTTCTCTGTCCATCATATTACAGAAATAAATTTTGTTGGTGCCACAAACATTACCCTTTACATTGTTCCAAAAGGTGGAATCTCCCATCCCAGGAGTCCCATCCCGACCCGACAGGAAGGTGGGGAGGTTAGTCACGGTGACTCAGTCAGCAGAATGACAGTAAGTCCATACACCCGTGCGCACCAGAGGCCCAGCCTTATTTCAGGTTCTGTGACCTCCACACGGTCGCTGCAGGGATTCGAATCTTTGTCCATTGTTCCAAATCTCCCACCACTCGACCAACTGAGCTATCCGTGCAGGTAACATTACCCTTTACAAATATAGAAAAAAATGTCTCTTCAAAAACATAAACGAGCATTTCTACCATACATTTTATTCCATGAAGTACAACCATGCTTGATGTATCCACCCTTATCGATGTTCATAAATAAAAAAAAACTTTACTAAACATGAGTGTGTATAAAAGTGAGTATAAAAATAAGTACAAAAATAAGTACTAAACATGTTTTTAATTAAATTTATTTCATTCATAGATTAAAGCGACTAGACTACGTTAGACAAGAGTACATGAGATTTCGAAAATTGTAAAATACTACGTACAGAAAAATAGAGATCCACCCCGATTAGTAGATCAAACGAGATCTATTTAGACTAAAACAAATCAAACTTCTAGTAAAAACATGTTGGGCCTCCAATTAGTTGGTCTCTCTCCTCTCTCTCTAATCCCCATATAAATACGTACCCTAAACCCTTCTCATCGCCTTGAAGTTGTGCTTTCCCTTCCCTGTAATTGTGAATCACCCCGCTTTTGTAAAGAAAAAAAGATGACTGGGGAAGATAGTGTAAGCCTTGATCTTCTGAAGAAGAAGATGGATGATTTTGCTAAAGAAAGAGGGTGGGAGAAGTTTCACAGTCCAAGGAACCTTCTTCTTGCTCTGGTATTCCATACATACCCTTCCAAAATTCATTACGCCGCATGTATTTTAGAAATTCCTAAATAGGAGTAAAAACGCTATGAAATTTCAAAATAGGATTATAGTGTTTTTTATTCCTTCAATAGAGTAATCTGCCAAGTTTAGAAAAAAATGTCTATGTTTAATAGCCTAGTAATGTCAAACTTACCAGAAATTTACTACTATGTAGGCAATAAAAAAATATTATAATGCTATTTTGGAATTTCAAAACTTTTTTACTCTTTTGGAGAATTTATTCTTATTTCTTATTGTAGAGTTCACCTTGTGGTCGCTATTTTTTTGTGTGTTTATCGCTAACTCAAAAATATACTCCGTATTTCATACAATTTGGACTTGTTTTGAACTTGTTTGTTTCTGCAAGAAAATATCCATTTCTATACGCTTGAGTTTTTTAGCCAAGTTTAAAGGCATTTTGACAATTTGACACAATAATTTTAACATTTTTTTAAAATTAAAAAGATATTTTTGGAGAAATCACTGTGAGTGGTAGTTTTTAGAACTTATAAAGGAAAATTTGACTTTGCACTACATTTTTTGGATGATACATAACTTTTAACTTCATTTTCAAAAAAAATTTGACTTTGCACCCCTTCATATAACGTTTTGTGAAGTTTTTTACTATAAAAATACAAAAAAAATTCGAATTTAGGGTGAGTCATAAAGTTGGCCGGGACCATAGGTGCAAAGTCAAAAAACTTTGAAGTGAAATATGGTGCAAAGTCAAGTTATTTTCAAAATGAAATTATTGGAAATATGGAAGAAGGTAATTTCACTTTGCACTCCAATATTACCTTCTAATATTATTGGAAATATGGAGTGCAAAGTGAAATTACCTTCTTACATACTCCGTATTTTAAATACTCCGGAGTATAAAAAATTCTATGTGTATGTTAATCATGTTGTTAATCATATTATTCGTTAAAAATGTATTCGAAAAGGCATAAAGTATTTAAACTTCTTCCAATTATAGTACTCGTATTAAAGTCAATGTTCGAAGCTTATTAGTACCGACAGAAAATGTCAATTTAATCAAGTTTTGTTGAATGGTGCGTGCATGCATTAATAATCGTCACATCTTAAATATTTCTATTTTTTACGTAGTAAAAGTTTTTAATCTAAAATATTTTCTTTTATCTTTTAAATCTACAAAGTCAACCTACAAATTTTTGGAGCCCGTTTGCGGGCACTTGTTTTTAGCTTAGGAGAGTTATCAACTATTTTTTTCCATTGAACACATAATTTACAATTTCACGCGTTTAATTGTGTAGTAGTAATAAAAAGTAAAGTTGAAGTTTCTTTTCTAGCTGTACTGGCTGAAGTTACCGTTGGTGACCATTTTAGCTATTTTTTATATAATCTTTTACTTATTTATTAATAAATTTTAGTATAATCAATCGATTTAGCCAATTTTACTTCCACCAAATAGGCTCTTAGTCATGTCAAAATTTCAGCATAGCACCAATGTTTTAAGTGATACTGAGTATTTTTTAAGTGATTTTGAAGAAAGTACTTAATAATAAAGTTTTTATTAAAGTTAGTAGTTTTTGGGAAAAAAATAATTCTCTAAAAGTAAAAATTGATGGTGTTTGGTAAAATAAGAGCCCGTTTGGTAGCACGAAAATCGGCTGATTTGGCTGATTCTGCTGAAATTTATAAAGTTCTGGCTGAAGTGGCTGCATTGGCTGATTCTGCTGATTTAAGAAAAAATTATTTTTAAAATATATTTTATTAATAAAATAAAGAAAAAGTTATATGTAAAAATAGCTAAAATGGTCATCTACAGTAACTTCAGCCAACACAGCCAGAAAAGTAACCCCAACCTTGCTTTTTCTGCTTATTACACAATTCAGCGCGCGAAAGCAAAAGTTACGTGTTTGGTGAAAAAGATGGCTGATAAGCCTGATAAGCCAAAAAACAGTGTTGTCAAACGGCCTCTAAATGTTTTTATTTAATAGAAAAAGTGAAGAGCACTTTAAAACATCATTCCTCTTGCTTTCAACATTAGCTTTTTTTGTGTTTGGGAAAAAAATAATTCTGAAGAGTACTTATATGACACTCTATTGAGTACATGATCTTATATGACTATTTCAACTTTAGTTTTTTTTAGTGTTTGGGAAAAAAATAATTCCGAAGAGTACTTATATGACATTTTATTGAGTACATGACCTTATATGACTATTTCATAATAGTAGAAAAACAATTTTTAAATCTTATTTGACCCTTTTCTCTTTAAAAATACTCTTTTCGGCTTTTTAAATCAAAGGTTGAAAAATAATTTTTAAAGTTTATCAAACACTCTCTTAATCTTGCGTGTGTCCTGTGATTGGATTTGTTCTAAAACTCAATCCTAGCAAAACTAGAAAAGAAATACAGACAAATCTCGAGTTTATTATTAACGCTCAATTTCTCTTTTTAGGCAAAATTTGACTTTGCACTACATGTTTTCAGGTATATTAGGGTTTATATTAAATTTTTAAAATCATTAGTATTTTCAAATAGTTTTATAGTCAAATGAAGTACTTACATCATTGTGTTAAATACTCAAAAAATGTAAAGGGAAGACAATTCTATTTTTGTAGACTCACAAAATGTACGAATGGGTGTACACAATGTCCTTAAATTTTTTATTTTTTTTAGAGAATACAAATACGGACTACTAGTAAAAACACTGGGTCATTTTTTTTCCGTATGGGTAGCTCAGTTGGTCGAGGGGTGGGAAAAAAAGATCAAGTGATCAATGTTCGAAACCTGCACCGATCATGTGGAGTCTACGGAACCTGAAATAAAGCTGGTCCTCTAGTGCGTACATGTATAAGGCCCACCACCGCTTTGCTGAATGAGTAACCGTGATTAACCTCCCTCGAAGGGTGTTCTGTTGGCTACGGACAGAACCCCTCGAAGAGTGTTCTGTTGGCTACGGACAGAACCCCTCGAAGGGTGTTCTGTTGGCTTCGGACAGAACCCCTCGAAGGGTGTTCTGTTGGCTTCGGACAGAACCCCTCGAAGGGTGTTCTGTTGGCACGGCTCTTGGGTCGGATTGAGGACTTCTGGAGTGGGAGATTCCACCTTTTTGGATCAATTGTATTGATTCATCGTGACTAACCTCCCCACCATCGGGTCGGGGTGGCGGCTTTTGGGGTGAGAGATTCCACCTTTTGGAACAATGGAGCAAGTGTATTGGCTTTTTTTTTTTGAAAACATTTTTTTTCTTTGTTTTTTTGTTTCATCTTTTCCTTTACGGATAAAGTTTTCAACTATATCTATCTAGACTAGATGATGATAAAGCTGATTGTCAATGGGTGTGTAATAATGAAAGGTGGGAGAAGTGGGAGAACTGTCAGAGATTTTTCAGTGGAAAGGGGAGGTGCCAAAGGGTTTGCCAGGTTGGGAGGAAGAAGAAAAAGTGCACTTGGGTGAAGAGATTTCTGATGTGCTGCTTTACTTGGTCAGACTCTCTGATATGTGTGGCATTGATCTTGGTAAAGCTGCCCTCAGAAAAATGGAGCTAAATGCTTTGAAATACCCAATTCCCATTGATAATATTCCCACTAAAGAAAATGGAAATGCTAAATGATTACGACTCTCGGATCAGCTGTAATGCATTTCTTGTGCTATCGTCAGAGTAATTACTATTATTAGTTTCTCATGTACCAAAAAAATCAGAGTAATTATTATTGACGTTGTGATTGTATTTAAAAGATCCTACCGGATTATGTCATTTATAATAGAAAAATATTAAAACTAGTTTGGTTACGATCAAATCAGCTGATGTGTTAAAATTTCTGAAGTTTTGGGTGAATGGATCGTCGATTTATGGAAAATTACATTTAAAATATATTTTATTAATAAAATAAAAAAATATAAAAATAGCCAAAATGAATATCTAAATTAACTTCAGTCAATACAGTTAGAAAAATAATTTGAGCTTTACTTTTTCTTATTATTACACACTTCAGTGTGTGATATTAAATTGATAAGCTATAGAGTTGATTACAAGATAAGTTGATAAGCTTGATGAAATAAAAAATTCCGTCATCTAACGGCCTCTTAGTTCGGTGTTTCATCTCAATCGGACATTTTGTGCTAGTTTTTAATATTCGTTGGTATTACATGTTTTTTTCATTTTAAAACTCGTAAAATGTATCGGTGATACAACAAAATACTCCCTCCGGTTTCAAAAGATTTTGACACTTTGATTTCACAGTTTTTAAGGAAATAAATTTGACTTTACCATAGAGTACACTTTTTGGCACTGTTTGACACTATTTTGTGTAGATTTATTTGCCAAATAAGGCAAATAAAAAAGTGTAAAGATCTTTCTGATACTGCTAAAAATGGAAAGTGTAAAGATCTTTCAGAATCGGGGGAGTATATGGACAATGATGGATTATAGGAGTAGGATTCTAAAAAAATATATGGACATCATACAAAATGTGAATAACTCAACTTTATCCGTTTGGTCACCCGGTTTTTCGTTTTATCCGATTTATCACTCAAGTTTATTTACAAAACGTATAATTTTTGATTTCGTGTGCTGAATAGTGTGTTCATAAGAAAAAGTTAGGATGAAGTTACTTTTATGTCTGTATTGACTGAAATTACTGTAAAAGATTATTTAGCTTTTTTTACACATAATTTTTTCTTTATTTTATGAGTTTTATAAGTTTTATATTTACTATGATGTAACATTTGAATATAATTATACTCACTAAAGTTATCAAAGTTACTTTTTTGTCAACTACTTTCATTTCAGTCATATCTCAGTATCTCTCGATATATTTCTTATGTTATTAATAAATTATGTTTTAAATATAACTTTTTCATAAATTGAGATAATCAATTAATTCAATCACATAAGTCATAATTTCATAAATTTCAGCAAAATCAATCGATTCATCTGATTTTGACATTACCAAACGAGCTTTTGATTTAGTATACTAACAATCCGCTTGACAATATTGAAATTTGTTGAATCGATTAAATTCGTTGAAATTGATGAAGTCTTGAGTGATTAAATTCGCTAAATTCTTTGAATTGTGGAGAAATTATATTTCAAATTTTATTTGTTAATAGAATAGTTTTTTAACGAAATATAATCATATAGTCCTCTGTAATAACTTCACTTGAATCATTCTGAAAAGTACTTTCATTTTTTTGTTTTGGTTATTATTTAATTCAGAGCAAAAAATCATTATTTATATGGTTGATACTTGATAAAAGTGTTACCTAACAAGCTCGGAACATGATTTAATAATTCATTACACTTATATTTTTTTCACACATCAATTACATTAAGTATATCAACAATTACACCATAAATATACTTATATACAACCATACACGTCTTTACAATCAATGTAAAATTTGCACGTCTCTACTATATCGATGTAAAATTTACAAACTGGTTACATGTATTTACAGTTCTTAGAAAACGATGTCGTTCTGTTGTACTGGTTCGCATAGTCTCTCGATTCCATATAGAGTTAATTATCTAAATAGGAGTAAAAATAAAATTAATTGGATATTAAGGACTGTCAATGAAAGAGAAGTTTCGAAAGATCATATTTCTAATTGTACGAATATAAAATTACAAAACTACCGAAACTCTAAAATTTCAACTGCTAACAGTAGCACTGTCGCTGCCCTCGCCGCATCCCCACCTCTCCCCACACCTAAGTCACTATCCGTTGCCGCTGCCTTTAGGCCACTATGACCATTGTTTATCAAAACTGCTGCCAATGTCACAACCCGACACTATGAATCTACCATTAAGTTGGAAGATTTACCCTGAGAGATTAATTTCAAATCTGCCATGAACAGGAGTTTTCAAATCTGACATAAAGCTAGCTTGAATCGGGCCGTCCAGACCCAGTCCATGCCTATGCCACCATATCAATATGATATGTATTCACTGATGCATACAAAGTATATTGTAGTTACCAATCCAATTCACTCAGAATTTTTCTCTCTTAGATCTTTCATCATCATCATCATCATCATCATCATTGCCACAAAAACTCTCTCTCACCTATGGTGGGATAAAGGAGAGTCGGATGCATGCAACTTTACCCATATACTAAAGCACATAAAGACTGTTTATGGGGGACTCATGGTGAAAATCGCATAAAAAATTGAATGTATTGACTGTTGTTTTATACGTAAGAAAGAAGCGCAAACAATTTAATAAACCATTTAGGTTTATTTCATCATATTTTGAAATAAAAAAGAGTGATTTGTTGACTTCATTGCAAATGATGAAAACCCTCTTACCTCTTTTAATTAACAAAAATTTTTAATGACAATTAACATAAGTGGTTTGGGCGGATTAGAACAATTACTTTAGCACAATAAAAAATTAAAAATATGAATTAATGACAAATATCAGGAAAATCGATTTACACAAAAGCATTTTGCCATAACACGATTGTCAGTGTACAATTCTGTAGAAACTAAGAAATCAGATAACGGAAATAGAAATCCAAACATTGAAAAAAATAAGAAGAAGAAGAAGAAGAAGAAGAAGAGGAGGAGGAAGAGGAAGAGGAAGAAGTAGAACGGTGGAGGCTGTGGAGCACGATGAGGTCGACAACGGTAGCGGTACGCGGTGAAGTCGATAATGGCGGGGGCCGCGATGCACAAAAAGGACTCCATGTCGATCAATCTGGTGCGCATTGCCTATATCATACATCCAGGTGTATGTACACCTGGCCCAACTAAGAAAGAAAACCCAATAACTAATACATGCTAAAAAAATCGGTGGGAGTTTTGTAATTTAAGTGAAAAATCACGGATTCTGCTAAATGAGCAATAATGTATTTCTAGTGAGAATCTCAACTATTTTATTGAGTATTAAGAGGCTAACAATGAATATCTTGATCTCTGTTTCAAATCTTCTAATTCTTTTTCTTTTACTTATTTTTTCTTTTATAAAAACTTATTAAATTATATCTACAATCCACTCCTATTAATTTTACAAATGAGCTCACATTATTACCAAATGAGCATACAAAACTTACAAAGTACACATTGATATGAAAATCGTAAGGTTTGTTAGTTGAATATAACGACATTTTAATTGAGCATCAAAGCTCCGCTATTCAGATGAAATCACGGTTTCTGGTGAATGAGCACTAATGAACTTTTAATGACCATCAGACATATTCTGTTGAGTATTAGGAGTCCAATATTCAGAATCGTGATCTCTGCTTCATAACTTCTAATTCTCTTTCTTTGTGTTATTTTTTCTTTTATAAAAACTTATTAAATTATATTTATAATCAACTCCTATGAATTTCAATATGTGAATCTTAATAGAATATTATTAGGCATATTTGTTTCCTAGTATGTTTATAACTCTTTAATTATAAATATACATGTCGGGACTCCTATTGGAGCACCTTTCCCATTAATTTTGAAACCCTAATTTTATTTTCCGATCCACGTCGCCGCCATGTCTTCGGATCCCTCTTCCACGGCGCCGCCGACATCTACAGCCACGCTGCCGCCACTGCAGTTCTACACGGCGGACGTAGGCTCACATTCGGCATCTAACTACTCCTCCACGCATGCCGCCTCTCAGTCGCAGTCCCATGTCATGATCTCCCGTCCGGCTGGCAGCATCTCCATGCCGTCGCCGTCGACCGAGCACATGGCGTCGTATCCTTTTTCACCGTTCACTGCGCCGCCACCATATTTTCTCTACAACTCTTTGCCGCCGCAATTCCCATGGCAGCCCGTCCAACCTGTCATGCCGCCGACCAGCCCTCGTCCCCCATAACTCCATATTTTGGTCCTTTGTTCGCTGGTTTTCCCGGAGTAGTGCGACCGCGGACTGACAACCCTCTATTCGGCTCTTCTATGGCAGCCATGGCTCAGGCTGTTTCTCATGGAATTGCAAACGTTGGCCAGATTATTACCATCAAACTCAAAGCACTTGAAGATTATCTTACATGGCGCACTCAATTTGAATCATTCATGGTGTCCCAGGGTCTTTTTGGTATTTTAGATGGCTCTATTCCGGTACCTCCCTTATACATGGTGGATTTTAATAATCATCAAGTTGTTAATATTGACTATTATCATTGGCTTAGAAGTAGATCAAACAATCCGTTCTTGATTGTTTGCTACGTTATCTCTTGAAGTATTAACTGATGTCCATGATATTAAACATTCACTAGGTATATGGGAGCGTTTACAATCACGATTTATGTCTGCCAGTTTACCTAGAGCTATGGAGCTTAAACGCTTATTGTCTAATATTAAAAAGAAATCAAATTAGTCCATGGAACACTATTTACGTGACATTAAAAATATGGCTGATGCTTTAGCTGCAATGAATTCACCTGACTGATAAAGAATTATTACAAAGCACGCTCCATGGCCACGGGGAAGTTTATATGCGTCAGCCACGGGGGTTTATTCATCCTTTGTTCCCTAATCATTTGTGTAAATTGCGCAAAGCCATTTATGGACTTAAGCAAGCCCCGCGTGCATGGTTTCATCGTTTTAGTAGTTTTTTGTTGTCTCATCATTTTACGCCCAACAAGTCTGATAATTCTTTATTCATTTACCGCCAGAATAATAATGTCATTTATTTATTATTACATGTCGATGACATAATTATGAATGGTAATTCTTCCGCTGCTATTACTTCCTTCATTCAGCTTGTTGCTAAACATTATGCTATGACACATCTTGGAGATCTTTACTATTTTTTGGGAGTCCAGGCTGTGCGTTCCTCTAAAGGTTTGTTCCTATCTCAGCATA